TCTGTAAAATTACAGTTATTTTTATTGTTATTTATTACGTTTATTACTTTGTTACCTTGTTATAACAGTTTCTGTAACAACTATCTTTTTGTAGCCTTCCTTTCTTAGATCTGACGGTGTCAACTGGGTTACCCCCTGGCGGCTGACGGCCTAACTTCCCTAAACCTATAGGCAATGTCAACATTTAAACGGACCCTCTTGTGCTGTATGTCTAATGATAATACTGAATCAGGGGAGTAAAGTAACATCTTGTAAACTCAAAGGCAACATTTGCCCAAGGGATTATCTAAATATCTAATAATTTGTTCCGGAAATACGTACCATATTCATTCCGTTATTAAAAATTGTAGAGACCCGTTTTGTTTCTATACGGGTCTATACAAATTATTGACAATGTTCCTTTATAAAACCACAGTACCAGTGTCTACCAAATATACAGAGCACGACCGTCAGAGCCATCTAATGGAGTAAATTATATGTTTAAGTTCATCAAACCATTTATAGATGGCTTTTTTGTAAATCGGCAAATTGAAAATTAGTAGGTAGTAGCAATAAATTTATACTGCAGATGGTTTATTTACCTGAGATCTTTGTTAATCTCAGTTAGTTGAACAATGATTATTCAAAATACTGATTAGTTGAGGTGTCACGTAAACAAAACATGGTTTATAACAAAGGAATTGTTTCAGGATTACCCAAAATAACCTGTCATAAACATTTTGCAGCTAATGTTAAATGGATGAACTTGATTGTACAAATTCATATTTTTTCAGTAAAAAATTGATGGCACTTAAATTGTTAGATAATGCGGATACACAGAAGGTAATAATACTTAGTTGTCTACGACACATAATTTATGAACACAAAGTATTGATTACTTTTGTAAACAGTAGTTATTATAAATACCTATAAAGTAAAATCGTATTAAAATAACGTGACAAATGAAAGATACTTGCATTGGATTTACAAGCAACACTATCGCATGTTTCCAACTATTTGAACGATGTACTGCTGTTTAGTTAAATTCTAATGAGTATATTATGTAATAGTTGTAAATTTAAACAATTATTTTAAAAAGTTTTCATTTTTGAAAAAAGTAACAAAAGGGTAACTCTACAAAATATGTTACGAACATTATTTCCCTCGATATATCGCCAAAATTTCACTTTTTATGCTGTCACATCATATACATTAAAAATAAATTACAGACTTGTATATGTACCTAGGATATCTTTGTATATTAATTTAAATAATATCTATCTGATTAAATAATAAAAATATACTACTCCATAATTATTATGTAACTTTAATATACATATTATATTTTTAGATAAATTTAACAAGGTTTTGCACCATGTTATACTTTATTCTCCCTATAACTTAAAACAGTACATTACAGTACAACAGCTATTAGTATTAGCACAGAATGTTAGATGGTCGGAAATACTTGACCTTGAAAAAAGTAAACATGCTTTTGAGAATTTATTAATTGTAAAATTTATTTGTTTCCGATACCTTCTTATTTATGATTTTCCAGTTTATTCAAATGTAGTAATTTGAGAAGTTGAATTCTTTAATGAACATTACTATTCTTACGTATAAAGTATCGAGTGTCCCAAAATCAGACATTTCGAGAAGCTCTCTACACCGTATTCTCATGCATCTTCATGCTTACAAAGTTCAATTGACTCAAGAACTGAAGTCTACTCACCAGGCAGGAGATGTTCATTGAGTTCATTGAGAAGAAGAAGTTCTGAGAGTTCATTGAATGGATTATGGAACAGCAAGTAGATGCTCATTTCTCGAACAAAATCATCAAGATGAGGCTCATTTTCATCTTGATAGCTTCGTAAATCGACAAAATCGAGAAACATTTCAATTACCACATGAGACATTACCTGGTCGTGTAATTCCCCGTTTTGGTGATCAGAATTGGCCGCCCAGTTCATGCGATTTAAACCATTGAACTTTTTGGGTTTTCTGAAGTCTAAGGCTTATGCCAACAAGCCCACCACCACCCACGCTTGAAGGAGGAAATTAAAGGTTGCACCAACGAAATTCAGCCGCAAAACGATCGTGGAAAATATCGATAAAAAAGTGCGTATGTGCCAGTAAAGCCGTGGAAGCCATTTACCCGATATGCTATTCCATACATAACTCTATAGTGTATACTTTATCAATCAATAAAAAAAATTACAATTTTTTTTATTAAAAACCTGTGATTTCTGTCAAAATCACTTCTTGTGTGAATTTTGTATACAGGACACCGTTGGAATAAAAATTTTAGATCAATAAATACCTATTTACAATTTAGTACTATTTTTGTATTTTCGGCTCGATTTTTAAATTGTTCATCTATATTCGCCTAAATATGAGTACGATCAATCAGCTTTATTCATATTAGCTTTGATAACAGTGATGAAAACAAAAATTTAATTTCCTTCTAAAAACAACATAGCTATTGAATGAGTAATGTCAATAAACGCCAGTAAAGCTACGTTCTAGCTTGGATTACAAAATCTGTTACTGTTTTATTTGGTGTAATGAAATAGAAACGTCATCACGTACATCATGAGGTCCTTCTTCCACAAATGCTTTGTCGCAATTTACAACGCAATTAATTCTAGCAATCGCCAATAAAACAGTAACTCGCAGTAACTGTATAAATTAATTTCTTTAATCCAACAAATTACAATGTTTAATATTATGTAAAAATTTAAATTTTGTCACGTGATCAAGAACGCATAGTGACGTCATTTAGTGCGACCTAGAACACAACCTGCTTTTCGGTCGTATGCCGTTTAGTCTACAATTGCCATGCTGATGAGACGGAATCTAATCTAAAGAAATACGCAAGCAGAGAACCTTGAGGTAAAGTAAATTTGGCCGTTTCTAGACCATTGTTACTAACTTGTTCATCTGTCGAGCAGTCCTGTCCTTGTTACATAGTTTCTCGATTTTGGGTCGCACTAATTGACGTCACAAATTAGGGAGGCAGTAAACACCAACAAAAAAAAAGATTTTGCGCAACAAACTTGAATAACTAATTATTAGTTTATTAGTTAACAGCAACAATAAATATATGTTAGTTATCATTCTATGTTAGGTCTGACGTGAACAACTTATTGTAGATTTTTTAATCATAACTCAGCCACACACAAAAAAAAGTTGTCTGTACTTTTTTCATGCTACATATGTTATCCGTAGTATTTTTGTCTCCTGATGACGAATCCGGTGTCAGAATTGAGCTATCACATGACAGGAACTTCCTAACCTCAAAAAAAAGGTCAAAAAAAGCAAAAATTCACGAAAAAGTGCTAGGAAATATGCAAATTTTTTTTTTCTATATTCAAATGTTCATTTGTATAGTTAAGACCCCGCCGAACGTGAATCCGCGGTCAGAAATGATGGTTCTTTTTCTAACCTCAAAAAAACGTATCAATTAAGGTCAGACATCACGAATTTTCAAAAAATAACAGATTCGCTCCAAATTTGGTATACGGGGGTCTCTGGTCACGGATACGAGGTCAATTTTGCAAAATTCAAAATGGCAGATCCAAGATGGCCGACCAAATGTTCAAAAAAATAACAGATACGCGCCAAATTTGGTATAAGGCGGATTTCGGTGTCGCTGATCACAAATTCAAGGTCAATTATGCAAAATTTAAGATGGCGGCCGACGAAATTCTCAAAAAATAACACATTCGCGCCAAATTTGGTATACGTGGGTTTTCGGGGTCACTGATCACGAATCCGATTTACAAAATTCGTTTTTAAAAATTTAATCAATTAGCTAGTTAATACCTTAGATTAGGCAGAAAATCCGTAAAAAAGAAGGTTAAACATGATTCTGGGTACTCAGGTTATAAAGTAAACAAAAATATTACAAAATAAATTTCGCAATTCTGACCTCGAATACATAATCAGCGTCCTCGAAAACATCCGTATACCAAATTTGAGGCGAATGAGTTATTTTTTGAAAATTTGGTCGGCCATCTTGAATCAGCCATATTGAATTTTGGAAAAATGACCTCGGACCCGTGATCAGCGACCCTCAAAACCTCTGTATACCAAATTTGGCTCAAATGTACTATTTTTTGCAAATTTGTGATATCTGACCCGTTTTTTTGAGGTTAAAAAAAGAACCCTCAATTCTGGCCGCAGATTCATGTTGAATATATAAAAAAAAAATTTGCATTTTTTCTAGCACTTTTTCGCGAATTTTTACAATTTGTGATCTGTTTTTTGAGGTTAGGAAATTCCTGTGATGTGATAGCCCAATTCTGACACCGGATTCGTGATCAGGAGGCAAAAAAATTACGGATAACATATATCGCATGAAAAGTACAACTTTTTTTGTGTGTGGCTGTGTAATCAGCAATAAAATAATTACCTTTTTTCCAATAATTATTTATTTTTATATACAAATGACAGTTAATAATAATAATTTGTTATTTGCGAACATAGAATTGAATATTATGGAGAGATTAAACTTCAGTTTATGTATTTTGACATATACAGGGTGTTTATGAAATAAGTGCGTTCCTTGAAACGAATACCTGTGATCCAAAATGTCATGTCTAGAAAATTTAATAAAAAATTATTACGTAAAACTATGGCCGACCCTGCATCGCCCAACGGGAGTGTTACGAGAGCAGTTACTGCACTCTCATCATTACAACGTATTTACCACAGAAACATACGGCAAAGGCAAAGAAATCCAAACAATTTCATTAAAAAATTTGCCAGTATTGCGGTGAATCGACGAAGTAGTACATATTATAACACCAGTTAGGAAAGACATCCGCATAAATTGAAAGCATTGTAATTAAAGAATTAATCCCCTCAGTGAACCCTCCAAATATGAAATCCACGCACATTCCAGTCCACGTCCCTTTCCGAGTATGATTAAAGCCAGCCCCAGAAGGCCGTTTCCCGTCACCGCGGCCATCAAATAACAAAAATTACCGCCGCAGTGTCATATACGTGTTACGTTGCAGAGCCCGACGCCTCCCCAGTACGTGTTCTGGTACCACAACGACCACATGATCAACTACGACACGGCGCGGGGCGGCATCACCGTGGAGACGGTGCCCGGACCGCGGACCCAGAGCCGCCTCACCATCCGGGACACGAACGACGCCGACTCGGGGAACTACACCTGCTCGGCGTCCAACACGGAGCCCGCTTCCATCTACGTCTTCGTCTCGGAAGGTGAGTACATTTTTAGATCCTACGTTATAAGAAAGCGGATTTGAAAGAACTCCCACACATTTTTCATAAACACACTGAGAAAAAACATGTTTTAGCCTTAAGCAGAAATTGGTTAATCCTAACAAAATGCATTATACAGGATGTCTCATTTTAAATCTCGTCAGGGAAGCTANGATCAATAAATACCTATTTACAATTTAGTACTATTTTTGTATTTTCGGCTCGATTTTTAAATTGTTCATCTATATTCGCCTAAATATGAGTACGATCAATCAGCTTTATTCATATTAGCTTTGATAACAGTGATGAAAACAAAAATTTAATTTCCTTCTAAAAACAACATAGCTATTGAATGAGTAATGTCAATAAACGCCAGTAAAGCTACGTTCTAGCTTGGATTACAAAATCTGTTACTGTTTTATTTGGTGTAATGAAATAGAAACGTCATCACGTACATCATGAGGTCCTTCTTCCACAAATGCTTTGTCGCAATTTACAACGCAATTAATTCTAGCAATCGCCAATAAAACAGTAACTCGCAGTAACTGTATAAATTAATTTCTTTAATCCAACAAATTACAATGTTTAATATTATGTAAAAATTTAAATTTTGTCACGTGATCAAGAACGCACAGTGATGTCATTTAGTGCGACCGAGAACACAAACCTGCTTTTCGGTCGTATGTCGTTTAGTCCACAATTGCCTTGCTGTTGAGACGGAATCTAATCTAAAGAAATACGCAAGCAGAGAACTTGAGGTAAAGTAAATTTGGCCGTTTCTAGACCATTGTTGCTAACTTGTTCATTTGTCGAGCAGTCCTGTCCTTGTTACATAGTTTCTCGATTTTGGATCGCACTAATTGACGTCACAAATTAGGGTGGCAGTAAACACCAACAAAAAAAGATTTTGCACAGCAAACTTTAATAATTAATTATTAGTTAACAGCAAAAATAAATATATATGTATATAACTTATTGTAGATTTTTGAATTATAACACAGCCACACACAAAAAAAAGTTGTCTGTACTTTTCATGCGACATATTATCCGTGGTACTTTTGTCTCCTGATCACGAATCCGGTGTCAGAATTGAGCTATCACATGACAGGAACTTCCTAACCTCAAAAAAAGGTCAAAAAATGCAAAAATTCACGAAAAAGTGCTAGGAAATATGCAATTTTTTTTTCTATATTCAAATGTTCATTTGTATGGTTAAGACCCCGCCGAACGTGAATCCGCGGTCAAAAATGATGGTTCTTTTTCTAACCTCAAAAAAGAACGAATCAATTAAGGTCATACATACACGAATTTTCAAAAAATAACAGATTCGCTCCAAATTTGGTATACGGGGGTCTCTGGTCTCCAAATTTGGTATAAGGCGGATTTCAGTGTCGCTGATCACAAATTCAAGGTCAATTATGCAAAATTCAAGATGGCGGCCGACCAAATTTTAACAAAACAACACATTCGCGCCAAATTTGGTATACGAGGGTTTTTGGGGTCACTGATCACGAATCCGAGATCAGATTTACAAAATTCGTTTTTAAAAATTTAATCAATTAGCTAGTTAATACCATCGATTAGGCAGAAAATTCGTAAAAAAGAAGGTTAAACATGATTCTGGGTACTCAGGTTATAAAGTAAACAAAAATATTACAAAATAAATTTCGCAATTCTGACCTCGAATACATAATCAGCGTCCTCGAAAACATCCGTATACCAAATTTGAGGCGAATGAGTTATTTTTTGAAAATTTGGTCGGCCATCTTGAATCAGCCATATTGAATTTTGGAAAAATGACCTCGGACCCGTGATCAGCGACCCTCAAAACCTCTGTATACCAAATTTGGCTCAAATGTACTATTTTTTGCAAATTTGTGATATCTGACCCGTTTTTTTGAGGTTAAAAAAAGAACCCTCAATTCTGGCCGCAGATTCATGTTGAATATATAAAAAAAAAATTTGCATTTTTTCTAGCACTTTTTCGCGAATTTTTACAATTTGTGATCTGTTTTTTGAGGTTAGGAAATTCCTGTGATGTGATAGCCCAATTCTGACACCGGATTCGTGATCAGGAGGCAAAAAAATTACGGATAACATATATCGCATGAAAAGTACAACTTTTTTTGTGTGTGGCTGTGTAATCAGCAATAAAATAATTACCTTTTTTCCAATAATTATTTATTTTTATATACAAATGACAGTTAATAATAATAATTTGTTATTTGCGAACATAGAATTGAATATTATGGAGAGATTAAACTTCAGTTTATGTATTTTGACATATACAGGGTGTTTATGAAATAAGTGCGTTCCTTGAAACGAATACCTGTGATCCAAAATGTCATGTCTAGAAAATTTAATAAAAAATTATTACGTAAAACTATGGCCGACCCTGCATCGCCCAACGGGAGTGTTACGAGAGCAGTTACTGCACTCTCATCATTACAACGTATTTACCACAGAAACATACGGCAAAGGCAAAGAAATCCAAACAATTTCATTAAAAAATTTGCCAGTATTGCGGTGAATCGACGAAGTAGTACATATTATAACACCAGTTAGGAAAGACATCCGCATAAATTGAAAGCATTGTAATTAAAGAATTAATCCCCTCAGTGAACCCTCCAAATATGAAATCCACGCACATTCCAGTCCACGTCCCTTTCCGAGTATGATTAAAGCCAGCCCCAGAAGGCCGTTTCCCGTCACCGCGGCCATCAAATAACAAAAATTACCGCCGCAGTGTCATATACGTGTTACGTTGCAGAGCCCGACGCCTCCCCAGTACGTGTTCTGGTACCACAACGACCACATGATCAACTACGACACGGCGCGGGGCGGCATCACCGTGGAGACGGTGCCCGGACCGCGGACCCAGAGCCGCCTCACCATCCGGGACACGAACGACGCCGACTCGGGGAACTACACCTGCTCGGCGTCCAACACGGAGCCCGCTTCCATCTACGTCTTCGTCTCGGAAGGTGAGTACATTTTTAGATCCTACGTTATAAGAAAGCGGATTTGAAAGAACTCCCACACATTTTTCATAAACACACTGAGAAAAAACATGTTTTAGCCTTAAGCAGAAATTGGTTAATCCTAACAAAATGCATTATACAGGATGTCTCATTTTAAATCTCGTCAGGGAAGCCACCAATCCGAAAATAATCCTCACAAAGTTGCTGGGTTCGGAGGGGTACATTGGATGGTGACATTGACCTTCAAAGCCATTTGAAGATCAAGGTCAAATTGAAGGACACCATCCGATGTCCCCCTTCGAAGCCAATAACGTTTAAAGGTCATTCCAAAGAAGAGTCTTAAGTACCTATCTAAACGTAAAATTTTGCTCTCTTTCCGAATCTGGGGTCAAAATAGATGTTCGTATTTAAAAAAATTAATTTGACCTTCAAATGACCTTGATGGTCAGGGTTAAGGTCAAATTGGAGGTCACCATCCGATGTCTCCCGAATCCCACAACTTTCGTAAGGGTTATTTTGACGACATATTCAAGAGCGTAATTCAAAATATTCTGTCCTTGAAATAACCGTTAAAGGTCATTCCAAAGAAATGCCGTAAGTACCTATCTAAACGTATTTGCACTCTTTCCAAATCCGGGATCAAAAATAGATGTTCCTTTTGAAAAAAATTGATTTCGCCTTCAAATGACCTTGAAGGGCAGTGTCAAGGTCAAATTGAAGGTCACCGTCCGATGTCACCATCCGATGTCCTCCTCCGAACCCAATAACTTTCGTAAGGGCTATTTTCGGATTGGTGGCTTCCTTGACGAGATATTCAGGTGCGTAATTTAAAATGGGACACTCTGTATAGGCTCCAGAAAGATTCTGCTGCTACCATAACAACATTTTCCAACCAAAAAGGGCCTACTAGTGGCTAAAACGTGTAAATATTTTATTGTTGCAATCCCATTTTGTTACTAAATTACTTGTACAATTGTTTACCCAGTAAAGGTTTTTTACGGCTACTAGGATTTAGTTTTATGGCAATATACTCAAATATATATCTTTTTTACTTCAGATAAGAGACTTTTTTAACTTTTTTACCATATCTGTACCTATAAACTTATTAGCTTTTTTTCTAAACTTTCACGCTGCATGTAAAAATGTACAGATAAAAATTATGATACCTATATTTTTAAGTCTCATCAACTCTCGCGACATGAGTGGCGACAATCGAGTAAATAAGCAGTATTAATCTATATTATCCTAGTATGCGGCGGTAATACGCGTTGTAAGAGCATAAATAGGCTAAATCTGTGGTAGACTGCCATAAAACATGTGCTACAGGCATTAGGGTGCCGCTAGATACGTATTGAATAAATCGATGCGAAGCATAATAAAAATAGCATCTATTAAAATTTTTGACTATTCTTTCGTTTTCATTTTTTTAATGTCCCTAATAGATATAAAGTAAAGCACCCAAATAAGACCACTTGCAAACTTGTAAGATGAGTTTTATTTCTCGAGATCTAAAATTGTAAATAATTGGCAATCTGCCAATAAGAATTCATTACTGATTCCTATTGATTTTCGTTTATCCGAAAGTATTAAATATTTTAGAGAAGTATATGTACTAAAATTATACCATTTACAAAGCCTTTACTTTAATAGCTTTCCTCTATCGCCTATTTGAACACCTATAGTTAAATGACAAACTAAATGTCTTCATAGAACGAGACTCACAACTTTCCTTAATAAACACCTTGAAATCCTGGTGAATAGGTTTGTCTAACTTTCTAGCCGTGAAAAGAATTCCAAAACAACTACGATGTTTCTGAACTGTATTTCAAATACAATAAGTTCTGAAAACTTTAAAGAAGCTTTGAAAATATGCATTTGAAAAAGGTGACATCATTATTATTTCTGTAAAATAAATACAGAACCAGAACTTGTATATACTCTTAGGAAAGTTTACTCAACTCAAGGTGCTGCAAAGAAAGGCTAGGTACTAGGTATTTAGTATTTAAAGTTATAAAGTTCATGAAATGTCCAGACTTACTTAGGTTCTTGGTAAAATGCTATTATCATTCGTTCATTTGTATGTTTAATCGTAAATGAAGAAACAAAGTCTTAATTATAAACAGTCCCACAATAGTTCATATTTTTGTCTCTATCCTCAGAAAATTGTATCTCCCCAAGGGAAGGTCGAGGTTGTTCCTGGAGGTGGAAACAAGCTTTTTATGTCTCATTTCATTGTTTATACTTACTCAGTTTGATACAACAGTAGTTTCTCTTTTTGTATCTATCTTCAGAAATGTACGATAAAGACGGTGTATCTGATGATAGATACAAAAAATAAATTACTGTTGTATCAAACTGAATAAGTATAAACAATGAAATGAGACAGTTTATATTTTCTTGCTTGGAATACTTTATAAACTCAAGTCATATCGATGCCCATTATTTTTAAAAAGATACATAAACATGAAGCTATCATCTTTATCTCTCCCACATAAGAAATTTTACTTTTCCCCTACTTATTAGTGCAAAAGTTTTTTAAAAATTCAAATAAATACACCTATACGTCACAAAAATTTAATTTTAAACCTTTTGTAAGCCTTTTACTGATCTAAATTCGTTGTGTTTGTTTTACGAGCTTTGACCTCATTAGCTTCATCTCTCTTGCATACATCAGGACGGCTGACCTCTATTTCTAGGGCCAGTCCATAGTTTATTAGGTCTAAGGGCTTCAGCAACATCTCTACAAAACCACTGACCACTGATCGCTCGTCGCCAGTGAGCAAAGAATAAAATAGAGTGTCCACTGACCTGTGACTAAAAAAACAGGGATCCATATTAAATAGGAATTTGTATTTAACTTGTGGATGAATGTTCACAAGTTTTGTGAATATCAACAACGTGTAATAACTTCAAATTAAACAAATTTGTTTTCGCTTTTTTTTTTCATTTTCGTTTTACATGTTTATTAATGATTTTTTTTTCAGGGGACAACGTAGACGCAATTCTAATGAGGAAGTCCTGCGCCATGTGCGTCGCCAGCCAACTGGTGCTGCTCCTGGTGGCCACATTCGCAGCAGCGATGCGATAGGAGCCTCCAGGGTAATCCCCGAGGACACAATTATGAAACTAAACATATGTGACTGTGCATAATTTTAAAGTGATATAAACTAATGTAATTTGTATACAGTTATGGTCATATTGTAAGCCCCTGAGAAATTCATCATAGGAGAACAACCGTCGAGCGTCCATTTTAAATGACCCTTATTTTTTTCATAAGTACCCTCGTTTTCCTAGACAAATAGGGCAATAAATATATTTACTGAGTTTCTCGTACGACCGATATATTTTTCGTTGGAAAAATGGAAAGGTGTTTGCCAGAAATACCCACTTTGAGGCTATTTTACTGTATTATAATAAATAATCAAAATAACTATCAAATCGTTACGTACCTGTCTGTCTGTATGTCGAAGGGTGGTGGAATTGTTTTGCCACCGCGGCACTTAGGCCTTATTAGGCCCCTTGTACACCCTCCTTCATTACTCGAGTACTTTTCTTCAAACCATCCAATTACTACACGGGTGGCTAGGTGGCAAAGTCTCGTACAATTTTATGTATGATAGCATGGTCTTGAGTTACAGAGATTTATTGCTCTATTCTCATTACCATTTTATCGGGGACCACACGCATGCGGAAGGTGTTGAGGGACCCCGAGTCTGCCTTAGGTCACCCATCCAAATTCCGGCCTGCGTCCGTGATGCTTAACTCGGTAGATCGAAATCCACCGGCCAAGACACCCGGCTACGCGCTCCCCATACCTACATACTAAATAAAAATATCAAGTGCAATCAAATTTAATTTTTAAAAGACTTGGTTGATATAAAAAAAATATTAGTTGCAAATAAAATTGTAGAGTATTATTAAATTGATGTAAACCATAAACCTGTTTTTTTAAATTGCGTTATTTAAACAAAATGTCTACATGTACGGCATTACAGGGTGTCTTTAATTTATGTAAACAACATAATTCCTGAAATCTCTAGGCTCAAAATAAGTCGATTACGTCACATGTCATCCACTACATATATCTACAGCGTGGGCCAATAGTGTGTGTAGAAAGTGAAACAACTCCGTTGTTACTCATAATACAGAAAAAAAGTTTATATAAAAGTTGTACAGAATCAAGAAACCTAAACTACCAAATTAATTTGAAACATACAGGGCGATGCATAAAAACGGGACACGCCAAAGATTACATTTTTTAAATGGAAAACCTGTATATTTTTAAACTTAACCCGTCATCCTCTCCACAATTGTTGAGTGCCATCCTTTCGGACAGCGATGGCCCACCACCACCCATTTACACCTACCTGATGCGCACTTATAGTAATACACTGAACTAGATATACACACCTTGCTCCAAAAATCCTGCTGTACTTCCAATATGTGTTATTATTGGGCGCCGCCCTTTTCCAGAGGGCGACTTTAATCCAGTTGAAAATCCTTCCAGAAATGCTTGCCGTTTGCACTTTTGTCACCGTATAGCCTTCATTTATCCAATTCTACGATTTAATTTTCGAACTTCTAATAAATAATCTTAAATAGTTTCTTTGCCACATCACTATTTCCTCTTTTTATGTTACTGTTACGATTCCGTTTTATAAAAAGGAAATTCATGTCGTGCATAGTTCGCAAAAGCACCTTTCTAGATATTCTATAAAAATTTTGATGCTATGAAATAGCAGCCTGATTTTCTTTATTGTCGGAAGCTCATTTTTAAAAGACCATCCAGCTTGAATTACTCTCCATTTTTAAGAATACAACCCAAAATCACTAATAAATTAATTACAATCACAATTAAATTAACGGAAAGATATCCTCGGACTTCTGCGCTCATGATTATTTGCCTGTGCCGACAGAATTGCCCGGAACCGAATAAACGCAACCCAATTGACGTCACGCAGCAAACACCAATGAAAGTCTAGAATTTGCTGCAACAGAAGAATATCTGGTGCACGACAAACGCAGCAGAAGAATATCCTAAACTGTGCAATATCGACTGCTTCTGGGAGAATGCGGCACACACAATTTTATGCGAAGAGCTCTTACTTCTCTTTGTGTTGACTGCTAAAAATGGTGAGCCAGATTAAAGATGAAATCACTGTCTATTATTTTGGGATCCGACTGTAGTCCATATTTTAAAGACAACCTGTGTAAAAATTTTTTCTAGTTTCTACGTTGCCAACATTTAGTTGTTACAAAAACAAAATATGTTTTCGTGAAGCCATTCTTTAATATGGGCGTTTGAAAAAAAATAATGTCAGTATCTCGGTAAAGTAGAATTATTCACCTAAGGACAAACGACACTGCTAAACTGTAAATATCTCCCAGCAGTGGACCTTGAGAAATGTACCACTATCTGTTAACCATTACAAAAAAGTGAACGTTACCAATTCAATTTTTTTAGTGTAAAATTTCATATTCCATATTGTGTAAAAACTCAAGATTCTCTAATCGCACTAAATGAAATTGTACATACTAGTTAGTTCTTATCTTCTATTGTACATCCCATACCATTCCACAATTTAGTTCAATACGAGTATTTTAATAGAAAAATAAATGCCAAATGTATTTCAGTTTTAAAAGTACCACGGCGTTTTTATAATAACTGGGGTTGAAATGGTTTGAAATTAGTGTGCGTTAATGTTACGTGATTAGAAAATTATAAGAACCTTCTACAGGGTGGTCAAAATTTGCAAATATCAAAAATAAAAATAATATAAATGCATTTCGCCCCTTATTACAAAAATGTTTAGTGTGTGTTAGATTTTAAAGTCAAATTTCTTATAAAAAGCGAATAAAAGGAGGTGTAATCCCAGGACAGATCAAAACTACTGTAACTTATGAAAAAAAGCCGTTAATTTCGAGTCCATTTAAAACGAATTTAGAGTCTAACATACCAATTTTAAAAATACGTACATACAAAATCCGTGTCACATTTTTTTTTGACACATCCACTATATGTAGATTTTATTTAGTAACTTGTAAAAAATCTGAACTCTTTATGTCAATTTTAACAGGTACCTAACCTCACTTAACCGAACCTAACCTATAAATTGTATATTTATCGGAATTCAAAAGAAAAAAAATTGTGACACGTTTTTACAATACCCATATTATAATTTTTACATGTACATATTTCGCATCTAACATAAGATACTTAAAGATAAGCATATTTAAATTCACATTGTGTGGATTGGTTGCGCGAGACAGAGTGAGAGAATGCTGTGATGAAAGAGATATACTATCGTTTTAATTTTATGTGCTGTACAGAGCTGTATCTTTTTATTGTGGATAAGACACGTCAGATATTTTAAAAATAGCGATTATGTAAAATAAATGATAATTCTTACTTTTCTTGTTATGTAGGTACTTCATTGTTTTATTTAATAAACTAAGCCAATTTTCTGAAAACCCCTGTATGTTTTTTTATAATTAAATTTCATCCAAAAAAACTAACATTCTATCCTATTTCCAATGAATGTTAATAAAGCTAGACTTTTCCAAGATAGTGATGGATTCCCAACAATAAATAGTGTAACAGAAAATTATACGGGGTGTTCCAGACCTCCCGTGCACTCCTTGCAAAATCAAAGTACATGGTTACTGGTCTCCAAGGGGCACTTATTCTCTTAACCTTATCTGTGACCTTGAAGGTAATTTTTAAGGTCAACTTAGTTTTTTAAATGGAAACCCTTATTTTCAACCCCGGATTCAGAAAAAGCGGAAAATTCTACAATCAGATGATGTGTGGGGTGAAAGTCAATTTTTTTTACTGAATCTTTCCACCCAAATGACCACGCAAGTTAAGGTTTATAGAAAAATGTGTCAGATAAATGTTGCAAAATTTTGAAGTTACATATTTCGCTAACCTTGACGTGACATTAAACCTTTAGAAGAAGACTTTTGCAGAAATGGCGTACTCCAATGAAGAAACATACGACACGTTACAAGCTTATTTTAAAGCAGGGTCATTTGCCGTTGATGAAAGACTGGCGACAATGTTATCCCGACAGATTTCCTCATTCTCGGAAAGTTTTTTCTGCAACCTCACATCACAATAAAGAGTTAATCATCGACGAGTTAGAGATGAACAATCAGCAGATATTGGGGTGGAAAGATATGGTAAAAAAAATTGACCTTCACGTGACCTTGGGGGGTCAAATGGACCCCACACATCATCTGAACGTAGAATTTTTCGCTCTTTCCGAATCCGGGGTTGAAAATAAGGGTTTCCATTTAAAAAACTAAGTTGACCTTGAAAATTACCTTCGTCACGACAATACGTGCCCCTTGGAGACCAGTAACTTTCATCTGAACCATTTTTCACATAGAAGGGGTGGACGGGTGGTTTGGGACACCCCATATATTATTAAAAAACCTATTTGGATTTAAAATCACTGAAAGATATTTCAGAGAAGTAACTTATAGCCTCTAATTCATGTTGACCATCAAAATTATTTTTTCCTATTGCATAATAAATATAAAATATACTAGCCCTATTTTAGTTCCCTGAGGAACGCCATAGTGCTAAATTTAAGCAAAATTAGATATTTCGATTATGTTTTAAGGAAGAGGTCAAAGTCAAATCAAATAGTTGATAACGAATTAAATATATTTGTTTTTAACATGTATTTACAAGTGTCAACAAAAATTTAGCTATTTATCTTCTAGGCGGCAGGACTATTTTCTTGTTGATACACCAGGGACCAGTAATAGCCTCTCAATTTTTTTAGGGACTCGTGTGTTCCGGTCTAAAATATAAAATCCGTTATATCTGAATTAGTAAAAAAAACATGTTGTTTCGATACCTCGACAATCTTTCCTTTGTGTAAAACGACAATGATGTCAGCATTTTGAATAGTCGACAGTCTATGAGCAATAACTATCACCGTTCTGCCTCTCCTGGCTTTTTCCAAAGCTTCTTGTACAATTTTCTCGGATTCGGTATCTAGAGCACTGAAATAAAAACGTTCTTAAGAGGCTTATTCAAAGTATTTGCAAATGTAAATCTATTTTCAAGAATACGAGGCATATCCGCAAAGTAGGAGCACTGAGACTCTGGTGTTCTGTGGTTTTTGTTTTTCACAAAGTTGGCAACACTGCATTCAAGACCAAAGTGTTGGGAGCAGAACGCATGCTCATTTGTCTTAGTCAGTTGAGAACTGTTGTTGTAGTGGCATGTTGAAATGACCAGCACTATTCTGAATCCCGCCAGTTGCTAGGTGAGGAACGTAATCTAGTTTCTTCTTGCAAAGGGAAAGGCACTGTTCTAGATTTTTAACGAAATCAAAATCATATACAATATTTTGCACAAACATTTGGGTATGAGAAAACTGTTTTCCAAATGGGTGCCATCTTTGTTCACAGTGGAACAAAAACAATGTTTAATCCTGGGTCATTCCATGTCAAATCGTCCAATGGTTGGAATCGACCCCTTTCAATTTGGACGAAACTTGGTCAAAAGTTTTCCTTTATCATAAAGCAAAGATCTGCCAAAGGAAAAAAATTGAAAAAATGTTTTCAAAAGTTATTCAAAATTCAAAATTTCACTATTTTTCCAATTTTTCAAGTATATTTTTTAAATATTTTTAAAACTATTACAGTTACAGAAATGAGCTTGTGTTTGTTTTAAAGAGGATACTTGGGGCTATGAAAAAAATATATACTCTGAAAAATAATTTTGTAACATGAAAAATTTGTAGAATTTTGAATTTTTTCAAATCGTCAAAATCGACTATCGACATTAAATTTTTGGCTCAATTTTTTTTATAAAATACCTTAAAATGATTTTAAAAGGTACTGAAATTTTCAGTGCTTGAACTTTTTCCTGCTCAAAATTACAAAACTACATGTTTTCTTAACTTTACTTGACTTGGCGATTAAAAAAAATTTTTTTTTGACAAAATTCAAAAATTCATATTTTTGAAAAAAACGCAACTGAAAATTTCAGGACCTTTTAAAATCATTTGAATGTCGATAGTCGATTTTGACGATTTTTAAAAATTCAAAATTCTACAAATTTTTCATTTTTCAAAATTATTTTTCGTAATATATATTTTTTCATAGCCCCTCTTTAAAACAAACACAAGCTCATTTCTGTAACTATAATAATTTTCGAGATATTTAAAAAATAAACTCGAAAAATTGGAAAAATAGTGAAACTGAATATTGAATAACCCGCAAAAAAATAAAAAATTTTTTTCTTTTGGCAGATCTTTGTTTTTGATAAAGGAAAACTTTTGACCAAATTTTGTCCAAATTGAAAGGGATCCATTCCAACCATTGGTCGATTTGAGATGGAATGACCAACTTGTTTAAACTCAACAAAACTACCGACAAATTGTTGGCTTCGACGGAGCACACCCCTTCTAACACTTTTCAATCCATTGATGCGCTTGAACGGTACTTTTGCCCATCAAAAGAACAGTGTTTAATCAACACACGAAATTCGGTTTAATTGTTTAGAAAATGTCAAAAGCGTCACCAAAACTTCTATATCTCGAAAAGTAATGGTCGAAATGTCACGAAACTTCGACACATTTATGGATTTTTTATTTGTAGCACCATCTCAGGGTTAGTTCCGGGACTTTTTAACCGATGTGTTAAGTTCTTAACTCTAGACAAACCTTGTGGCTTCATCCAGTAGCAGAACTGACGGAAACTTCAAGAGAGCTCTGGCAATGGCAATTCTCTGCTTCTGACCACCAGATAGCGTCACTCCCCTCTCGCCTACCAGTGTGTCGTACCCTTTGGGGAAGTACGATATGAATTCGTCTGCATTCGCTAGGATTGCAGCTTCCCGCACCTGGTATTCAAAGAAGATATGGTAAAAAATTTATCAACCATAGAATTTTTAGAGGATACTGAAATTTACCTCTTGGTCTGTGGCTTCGGGTCTGCCGTACCTAATATTTTCTAAAATGGAAGTGCCGAAAAGAACAGGTTCCTGACTTATCAACCCAAGTGTCTTGCCTCGTAGCTTAGACGGATCTAAGGTTCTGATATCGCGGCCATCCAAGGTAATGCTGCCACCTTTCACGTCATAAAATCTAAAATAGCAAGAATTAAACACCCCAAACTGATACAGTGTTGCCATCTCCAGAGAATTTCCACTAAATCTGGTGATTTTAACTTTTGATCGGCTACATTTGTCAAAATCGGTCTAATAGTGTGGACTATTAGCAGAAATTTTATCCATTAAGTTTTGATTTAGTTCCCAATAATACTGGTTGTTATTATTTTTAAGGGGTTAGAATTGGGGGTGAGGGGTTCAATTGTCAAATGGTCAAAGGGTGTCGGTTGTGATCGGTTAGGGCACACTTTGGGATGGAAATAATGATTAAAGGGTTCCACATTTCACAAACAGCAAAAAATCTTAAGGCAGGTTTTGGTACTTTCTGTGGGTTAAAAGATATTAAACAATAAGATGGGTGTAGGATGGACTTCAAGATTGAATGGTTTCATAAGCTGTAAGCAGGGAAATGTCATGTCAGACGTCGATAAGAACTGCGGTCGGTCCAACCCCAACCGTGGGATCTGGGTTGGGGGTGGGTGGTTCAATTGTCCGGGGTCGGCGTCGGACAGTATAGAATAGTGATCATATAGGTGGCTGTGAGATGGAATTCACGATTAAACAGTTACACAACCAGTAAGCAGGGAAAAGTCACATGACAGGCTTTGGTAGTTGGTGGGGAGGGAGAGGGATGGGGGGTTAAGTGTTTTGGAGATAGTAGTCTTAAGCCTAGTTACAATTTGGGTGGCTGTAGGTTCGACTGCAGTAGTAAAATATTTAGGTAGTTTTATTGACCGATGATCTGTCAAGTGCGTCCCCCTGACCTTTGGGGGTGGTTCTCGGGGGTTAGTGGAGGTTGTACAACTCGGTGCTGTAGGTTCGACTACAGTAGTGAAATATTACGGTAAGCCACTTGATCTTGTAATCTGTCAAGTTCATTACCCTGATCTTGGGGGTGGTTTTGGGGGTTGGAAGAGGTTGTAGGGGTTTGTGCTCATTAAAACTTTTGATCAGCATGACAAGGACTATCAAAATACGATGTTTCATAAAAATTGACCGTTGTTCAATTTTCATATGTTTTGTGCGGGGTTCTTTGAAGTTTTCTTCAATTTCTGAGACAGTATCTACAATTTTATCAAACATGTGCTCAATTTCCAAAAAATAAACATTTAGTTTAAGAGAGCTCTATAGCAAATAAGCAACCACCAATATATTTTAATAGATTTTATTACACAGTTTGTCTAAATATGAATTATTGCACAAATAACAGACTTTCCTCCATTCTAACACAGATTTTCTATAAAATGAACTTAACCTGAAACCCAAATTACTTTTTGTTGTAAAGAAATTTGTAATTCACCGCTTTTGAACAAGCGTCATCGTAAATTACAAATTTCTTTACGCCAAAAAGTTATTTGAGTTTCAAACTAAGTCCATTCTATAGAAAATCTGTGTTAGAATGGAGGAAAGTCTGTTATTTGTGCATTAATTCATATTTAGACAAACTGCATAATAAAATCTATAAAAATGTATTGCTGATTGGCTATTTGCTATAGAGCCCTCTTAATTAAAACAAAAACATAAGAAAATACAAATCTTGTGCCTGATTTTTGGAACGATTTATTATTAATAAGTAAGTTTAAGACTTTAAAAGTTTAAATGTCTCTTCACGAGCTTTAGTTGTACCATTTATAATCTCAAAAATTCCTCAAATCCAAATTATTGGACACAATATTATTATTGACATAACAGGCAATTGTTTTATTTTATTTTTATTTTTTGTTTTTTACTTTCAATAAATGAAATACATGACTGTTAATAAGTTTTCACAGCTTTAAAATCTACTGTATCGTAAATCAAAACGTAAATTTCTTTTTTTTTTAATTTTCTATCTATCTAGTGGAAATAGATTAGTAGAATTGGCAACACTGCTAGTAAATTAATTTATACGCATTGTACCTCTCTAAAAGAGCCACAATAGTTGATTTGCCGTTCCCTGAGGCACCTACAATTGCTACGGTTTTGCCTGCTGGTACAGTCAGGTTGAAGTTTTGCAGTACATTCTGTGGAAAAAAAATGACCATTATACAGGGTGTACCTTTAAGTGGAGGTCAGTTTTTTAGGATTCCCCAGAATTCGTTTTTTAAATAGCACTTAAACTCTGGTCTACACCACCGCCAAGCAGCTCCTGATCTCCATTGTATCAGTGCATTTATCAGTGTTGCCGGTAGTTACTTTTTTAAACCAAGTGTATAAAACAGATACCACCATACAAAGGTATTTGTTTTGGTGTTTAGTGATGATATGGTGTGTTTGTGTGTCTTCATTGTTAAATTTCTGTGCGACATAAAAAAACGTATATGAACCAATAAAGACGAGATTTGACACCAAACGAATGCGCTTTTCCCGCAGCGGGGTAGGAAAATAAAAAGAAAGGTTGAAAAAAAAATAGTTTTTACGATGGAATTTGGGAAAACAAACTTAAATCGGTAAATACTAAAACAATTTTGTTTATTTTACCTGTTGTGGCCTGCTAGGATAGGCAAAAGTGACGTCGTTAAACTTTATATCCCCCTGCACGTTCCAAGGGGAATGGTCGACAAATTTAAGAGGTATCGTGGGCTCCATTTTAATATACTGAAATAAAAAATGTTTACGAAAGGAATAAGATACGTTTTGTACCGATTTACCTCAAATATTCTGGCCCCCGCTGCCGCCCCTCGCACCACCGATCCAAAAAGGAGCGATATTTGGGCCAACGAGCGCTGAATAGTCTGAGAGGCCATGAGGAAAGCCATCACCTCGCCAGCCGATAGCTGATTCGTAGAGAGCAGGTAACCTCCCATGTACAGCGTTGCCAAGACCATTCTAAAGTGAGATAAGCGTATTCAGAGGAGCAAACTTGACGAAGCATAAACATATCTACCCGTTTAAAAATAAGTTGGTTCCAGCCTGGAACAAACCAATACCAAATCCTAGGGTTTCATTCAAAACTAACGCCTTCAGAGCTTCATTCTCGAACAGCTCTAACTCCTGCTCCTCCATTGCGAAAGCGCGGACCGTTCTAATATTTCCGACGGCCTCATCAGCAACAGCAGTAGTTTTTTCTACCTAGCGAAATTGGAGGTTTACATTAAACTAAGACTTACAGTTCCATAACTTACTTGCGCTTGTGCTCTTCTTGATATGACCCGCAACAGCGAACCAAACACAGTTCCGACAAATATAATGCTTGGGATACAGAGGAGAGAAACAAAGGTCATTTGCGGTGAAATCATCAATAAAGAAGCCGAGCAACCAACGATCTGTGCGGAGGCCCTTAGGCCTCCAGAAACTGTTTGTTTGAAGCTGCTTTTGAAGTCTTGAATATCCGTCGTCAGCCTAAAAATTATTTCAAGCACTACAACCGAAGAAATAAAGGATTGAACTGTGTACATTCCCGAACTTTAAATTTAAAAATAAATATCGTGATATTTTCCGTTCTATTAACTTATTTCTATGTTGCAATGTTGTAACTAATTTATCTTTTAAATAAAAGTGAAATTTATTAAATCTAACCTCATTTTCCGAGCACTTCAAAATCCTCCACCTTAACGTAAACGACACTGTTTGAATAAAATGTATCTAACTACCTGTTGATGATCTCCCCAGTTCTTTGCTCATCGAAAAAGCCTATATCTTGTCTTAAAATCGATGCGAACAAATGTACTTTCATATTGAACGCTATTTTCTCTCCCAGGTTTGATAGCATGACAATATAGAAAAAGGTACAGCAGCTCTACAGTAAGACATCATAATTGAGGATTTAATAACGATCTTTAAAAAAAATTCTCCTTACCTGAGCAAGGTACATGCTGACCAATTTAATTGCTGGCAGTTTCATTTCAGATATAAACATTTGACTGTCTTTCGACTCGTTAAATTTTGCTAGTACGTTTATAACACCTCCCATCACCTGGGGTATTGCTATATTTAATAAAGCTACAGCTAAGGCACCCTGAAATGAGTTTTAACCGATAAGCAACTAATACTTAACTTTGGTTATTTACATTACCACAATAGCTGCAATTAAATACCAAATATGAGGTCGAACGTACAACCAGAAAAGTTTCCAATCGAATTTCAAATGCTTGTCTGAAGACTTTCGATATCCAGCCATCCTAGATCCCTTTTTCTCACATAATGCCGTATTTTTATGTACTACTATTTGTACTACAGCTCCGCTGGCTATAGCTATGCCTATCACCGTTATCTTAGGAAATGTGAAAATAGGTTTGAAATGTGTTTTAGGTGCATTCGTAACATGGTTTTTTGTAGTTTGGAAGAAATTGGACCGAATACCATTGCAGTTTTTGAGAAGGGCATACCTATAAATTACATAAAATGAAACCTATAACCTATTAATTTAATTAAAATAGTTACCTAAATGTGTTGTGGATATTTGGCACATGTTGTATTAGTTTCCACATTCTAATTTACCGGAATTTAACGGATTCGTTTTTAATAATTCATTTGCACTTTTATTTGACATTGACAAAATAAATTCAAAATAGGTTAAATTTTTTTAACTGTACAGTAGGTGAATTGACAATAGTTCTAATGTCAACCACAATCACAACTATCAGTAGTTCAAATTTCATAAATGTGAAAGCCGGTAAATGATTCAAATCATCAAAACATTGTTACGTATAATTTAAATTTAATTTAGAAACAAATAATTATTATATTAATTTACGAACTATTCCCCAAAAGCGGTTCTATTCTTTGATATACTCCCAAATTTTTCGTAAATTGATTTTACTCCTCGCTGCCATCTAGTAAGTTAAAGAGAAACTACAGGTAGGATTTGAACCAATAATTTCTCTTTCTTTGTTGGTATGTACAATTCATTGAGAGGTGGCACCACATTTCTATGGACATCACGAAAGTTTGATACGTTTTCTGTTTAGAGACAACAAATCCACTATGCTTTGAGACTCCCCTTTTGCGGTTTTTTCTTATTCTTATCATTACTATTTATTACATTTATATCTTCTTCTTGCGATATCTTCTCTTGTTGGAAGTTCATTTTAAAAATAAAATCCACCAATCTTCCTACAGATCGCGTGTCAGAGTCAATTTAAATGTTTTTATACTTTATTATTTTTTCTCACAGACACTTTGCTATTGACATATCGCGTTTCATGTTAGAATTATCATACATAGTACAGTCGTTGAAGCTGAAAATCAGCTGTAACCTTCGAATTCTTTGAAACTGCATGGATTTGCATGAAAATTTAGAATAAGGCTCATCTTAGGCTAAAATTCAAAAGTGACATAAGCCCGATTGACGCTTTGTTTTTTAGGGGTAAAAACTACCCCTAAGTGAAAAAAATTGAAAAAATTAAGTTCTAAGCATTTTATTGAGAAAAATCTTGTTCAAGCACAAAAATTAAATAATGTTCCATGTTCTCGAACATGTTTTATGATATATTTGATCTTTTCGACCCTTTATTGATAAAAAATTACTTTTTTAAGATTTGGATTGATTAAATCGTGTAATTATTTAAAATAAAAGTTAGCTTATAGCTAATAAAAGAATTTTTCCCTTTCAACCCCTAAAAACCACCCCTGTATTGACAAAAATGATAAAAAATTACTTTTTAAAAGCTTGGAATGCTTTAACGGTGCAATTATTTAAAATAAAAATTCCCTCATTGCTTATGAAAGAATTTGTATCTCATAACACTTTTCAACCCTTATAAATCACCCTTGTGCTAAAAAAATGATAAAAAATTACGTTTTAAATCTTGGAATGCTATAATTGTGCAATAATTTAAAATAAAAATTCCCTTATATTGTTTATGAAAGAATATTTTACTTTTGCCATTTTCAATTCTTATAAACTACCCTTTTACCAATATTAATGTAAAATATTTTTATTACAATCGATTTTTAAATATAATAATCAATCATAAAAAAAATTGCTAAGCTGCATATAAATAATCATACTAAATTTTTTTACTTATTTTATTTGTATAATATAATATATAATATATAAAAATGAGAAAGCCTATTTTGCTCCGAAAAAATGTCATTCGTTTTTTTACCATAACTCGGTTAATTTGAAGCTATAGTATCCTACAAAAAAGCATTTTAAAGATAATTCGAAAGGATCGAAGGGCTCGAGACAGGTCGTTTTTTCACTAAAATGGAATACGCATTCCAAACCGGTCTAACTTCGGGATCGTATGAAAAACACTAAAACAAAACTAATTGTAAAGGGTCTACGATTAATTTTAATTCTTATGGAAATGGTACAGCGTTTACTGCTCATTTTTCCTTAAAAAAATATGAGCAACCCATCTGTTTTTGACGATAACTCCTTCAATATTGCTCTAATTAACTTTTATGAGTTCTCATTTTGAAGGTCTTTTTGAGTACTACAAAAAACTCTGGAAGAGTTATACACGTAAAATTAATCCTTTTTCCGTTATTTCACGTTAATACATCGATTCGAGTATTCCCCCCAAAACAAGTCCCCTTCCACTAACCATATTTCGCTTTGTATAGGACGTACAACACTTTTTAAAAAACTATTTTCTTTGTTTATTTATAAGCTACATTTTTGTTCATTACACTTTTTTTAATAAAATGCGTAGTTTTTGAGTTATTTGCGAAAATACTTTGAAAAAGTGTTTTATTTCACTCGAAATTCAATCAATTTCAATCGTGAATAACTAAAAAACTATTGATTTCTCGAAAAAATTCTTCGAATATTTTTTGCTCAAAATTATTTTTGAAAAAAAATTCCTCCTCCGAGAAGAGGTGTCAACCCCCAACAGGGTGGAAGTGTCAATCGGCGCTATGTCACTAATGTTCATTGACCTTTTCACTAATTATCTGCCAAATTTCAAGTCGATTGGTTCAGTTTCAAAGAATTCGGAGGTGAAAAGCTTCAATGACTAACAACGTATTTAATCAGGTAGATTCAGTAGTTTATGACTGCTCCAGTTATCAGGTTGACAACTAAGACCTGAATAATTCCATTATTAACAACACTTATTGGCGTAAGAAAGCTATGAAAATAATAACACATCTTTCTCACTTTGTACTCTTATGATACGCACTGACATGCATTAGCTGGAAATGATGACGCATGGCTGGACCTCAAGAAGTCGTCTCTCTTTGTGTACATGACAAACAAAAATTTCAAATTTCCGTCTTTGTTTGTCATGTAGGCGCTGGTAACAAACAAGTGCGCGCGCACAGAATACACAAAATTATTTAACCAGATTAAGAAGTAGTAAAAATCGTTGCTTGATTTATTTATGACTACTATTTTGAGAATGGAATATAGTAGGTAAGTAAACATGTGACTATTACCAATTATAACTTTTCCACTCATCCCGTATACGACTTGTTACTCCTGTATTGCGCCATTGGTTCCTCAAATCCATCGCCTTAGCTTTAATTGGACTATTATTGAAAATATGATCCTCGCCGAACACATTTCTGACCCCTGGGGGTCAACTGATACCTTCGTGTCATCGAGATCAACCTCATATTTGTACATCTCGCATAACAGTTGCCTGTCTTGTTAAAATTCCGACGGATCGGCCTGCGAGAGTGACAAGTGACCCGATTCGTAGTTTTCATTTTCTTCTCGCCCGCCAGTGCCACTTCGGTAGAGCCGCTCGATTGCTTCCTGGCCTACTGCGACCTCCGGAAAGGTAGGTGTCAAATAAATCACTATAGGCCTCGCTTCCTAATTCTCATTCACTGATTTGTTTACTATGTCTGTATGTCGCTTTCTAATGCAGGACGCCAGACAAAGCCGTTTATTTTTAACTGGGATGTTTGCGAGGTACTGCCCTTATTGTGTGTGGTGTTGGAGATCACCAAAGTTGTTTAAATTTGGGCAAGGTTGTTTCTATTTAAAAACAAATGATGAAGCAAGCGTAGCAGGCGTTGATAGAATGACGAGATGTTTAGAAAACAAAAGTAATGAAATACAATAATTCATAATAGAGATAAAATAAATGACAAAGTACTTACAATTAAATCAAGTCAGGAAAGTATAGTTGTTTATCATAGTTTCCACGTGATGAGAGGATGGAAACTATTAAAGGTAGTAATTCAAATAACTTTCTTAATTCGTAGTATTTACAATGTCTGTCTTTACCATGGCCTAGAGGCGTTAAAATGCCAGGGAATGACTTAAAATGTTTATTTATTAATTTTTTTATTTGTTTCCCACTGGCTTAAACCTTATTATTTTATTATTAAGTCTTAAACCCATTTAAGTTTAACACAGAGCATGTAAAATATATCCACAAAAAGAACTTATAATAGTTGCAGTTAATTTAAGATCTTATAAAAAGTATATTAAAAGTAGGTAGTTAATTTAATAAAACACACAAAGAAGAGGAGTATAAATGTTACAAAATAGAGACTAACACGAAAAAACGCGGGATATGAGACTTAATTAATTATACTATAAAATAATTTCATGTAGCCGCATAGTTAAGATCTAGGTAAGATAATAATTTGATTTACTTAAAAATCTATGCTAAACTTGCTCCGGGCTGTCAATATAAATATTATACAAAAATAGAAGAAGAATACTCAAGATGGGGTTTTACTAGTGCACAATTTTCAAGATTTGCCTTTCTTTGAAATCATGACTACATCTCATAATAAATTTTAACCTTTTAAGTGATTTTATAACAATGGTTGAGATGTGTTGATTAAAACTCGAGCTAAGTCTAAGATAATTCCCAGATCATCTCTCACTTCTTCAACTGATTTAAGAGCTGATCCACCTATAGAATATAAAATAATTACATCTCGATCTGATGAAAGTTATTGGAAAGCCTTTTTCTATACTAATGAATATTCCATTATTTGTGCACCAATCCACAAGATTAATAATATCAGAGAATTTTAAATCGTCAGCAAATTGAGAATACTTAAAACAGCAACTCATGTCGTTAATAAATATGTTAAAAATAAATGGGCTCAAATGAAAACCTTGAGAAACTCCTGAACTAACTGTCGTCTACTTTAAATATATGAACCAAACAATGATAGCAAGGGATCTGAGAAACCACACCATCCCTTATGAATAAGCAAAACAGGTCAAAAACAGCAAAAATTCACGAAAAAGTACTAGGAAAAATACAAAAAAAATTTTGTTTCTAAATTCAAATGTTCATTTATATGGTTAAGATCCCGCTGAACATGAATCTGCGGTCAGAATTGATGGTCCTTTTTCTAACCTCGAAAAAATGGGTCAAATGGGTCAAATGGGTTAGATATCAGGAATTTTCAAAAAATAACATTCGCCCGACATTTGGCATACGGAGGTTTTCGGGGTCGTTGATCACGGATCCGAGGCCTATTTTGTGAAATTCAAGATGGCGGATCCAAGATGGCCGACCAAATTTTCAAAAAATAACAGATTCGCGCCACTACGGGGATTTTTGGGGTCTCTGATTACATATTCGAGGTCAGAATTGAGATGTTCATTTTTGTATTCGTGATCAGCGACCCAGAAAACGCTTTTTTATATTTTTTTTACTTTTTTTCGTAAATATTTGCAATTTTTTACCTGTTTTTTAAGGTTAGGAAATTCCTGTGATGTGATAGCTCAATTTTGACATCGGATTCGTGATCAGGTGGCAATAATACTACGGACAACATATGTCGCATTAAAAGTATATACAACTTTTTTTTATGTAGTTGTGTAATTAATATTCGGTCTAGGGTAATGCAATGGTGTAAACTTTGGAAAGACATAGGAGGAGAGATTATTTTAGTACAAAAAAAAACGTCAGACCATATCTGCTTTTAGGAGAAGTTCCCAAGACAATAAAAAAAAATTAAGAGAGAGCTCATCTGAAATTCTCACCAGGACCATTACTTTTAATCAGAGCCTACAAACTTATATTAATGTATCGCAGATTTCTTTGCTAATATCCAAGTAAAATAATACACTAGTAGCATGCTGGTATTACAAAAAAATTGACCTTTACTGGAACTGATGAACACTCGCTTGTGAAACCAAACAAGTTTTAAATTGTGCAACATAGTCACACTTATCAATGTATTGATTTGTTTTGAAAAAATTAATTAATTTCAAGAACTGAAACTATGTAGATACAGAATAGTGTAGAGCACAATTCAAGTGAATTTATTCCAATTATGTTTGTCAGAGATAGCCTAGATAGATTAGAAAGATTACAGAAGAAACTGATTAGAAGAATCGGACCTCAAGAACATTTTAAAAAACTTTTTAAATAAAATAAAATTTAATAATAAAATGATTGATTTCTTGGAAAAACAATGAAGTTACAGTGTCAAACCACAGATAATGTCTTTATAGAGATATATTTGTATTTAAAACGATGCAAGTTTCAAAGCAGCAAATTTTTCCTGTACTACTTCTGCATTTCGTTGATATTTGCACAAGAGTTTCTACTACTTCAAAGATTAACAGCAAAACTAAAAAGCTTGCCGCTTCATTGCTGTACCGATTACATTGCTTTGACATGTCCTGTTTATACTCTGTTCATTATATTAAATATTAAAATACATTTTTATTCAAAGTCTACATTTTCTTGATTACATTCATATGCTCTCAAAGAAATCTTTCTTCTTTGCTTGCAGACATGAAAATTAAAAAGATACTGTTATATAAGATGTTTATTTATCTATGCCAAACATCAATATTACAATCGCGTTTAGCTATAACAAAATATAAGTGTATATATCAAGATAATTTTTATAAACAATTTCAATGCCGATATGTGCCATCAACTTTTTATTTGCTTTTATAAAACCGGAATAGATTTCCCGAAAACGATCAATAATTTGAACGATGAGTTTTCAGTTCTTAGAGTGTTTTTGGTGAATACATTTCTATCACCACACCCACAGAATATCGACACTTGTTAATATAGAAAATACCCAAACAGATGTTAATAGATTTCAAATTCATCCAGAGCTTTCCATGTCAATTAATCACAGTTTAGTTTGGATGTAGTCAAGTTTGATGAGTTTAGTTGTAGCAAAGTGTAATTATTTTTGCTAGTATGTTCGTAAAGTTGCTTGATTAAAACTTATCTCAGTTTTAATCAGTTTTTAGAAGTTTCGAATAATAGTTTAACATTTTGTAAAACTAATTCAGTCTTATAATTTTTTCATTAACGTAAATCGTGAAATTAGCACTAACTTTGTCAGACTGATGTTAGTAGAGAAAAAAGAAAAAGTTTTTGTATCTAGTTCTTCAGACTCAGATTTCAGAGCTTGCGAAAGTTACCCATTAGGTGTTTTTAGTAAGAACAAAAACTCCTTTTACAAACTTAGAAATTATTTTTTTATGATCTCTGTCTTATTACAATCAACCATATGAGGCTCAAAGTAAAACAGAATAAAAAATATTATTCTAGCTTGATAAACAGTGCGAATATACAGGGTGAGTCAGAAATAATGGGTCAACTGGAGATACTAGACACCAAAATATTATGTTTGAGCTCATCATGCCTTACACGCTGGTTTAAGAAATACAGGGTGTTCAAGGTTTCAATTTTATTCTGAAATTTCTCAATAACTGAGAAAGTTTTGATAGCATGACTCTGAAACTTGGTAGTGTTGGATTTTTTGGTGTGAGAATTACGAATTTGAAGCTTATTTTGACGTTGCTCCTAGAGCGCGCTAGTTTCACTATATTATTTAGGTGAATCAGAACACATATTTTTATCTGTTGAGCTATGCTAAAAACCTAAAAATCTAAAAGAAAGTTAAATTCTACATAAATAAATAAATTAATAAATAAATGTACTCTTGTTTAGGTCGTCTAACTTTATCGGTTTCTGAGTTATTTGCGTTTAAAAGTTTCAACGTATTTTGTGGTTATTCTTTCAGATGCTGATATTTCTAAGTAGGTTTGTGTAAAATTTTCATGTCAATAAATGTTAACGTATTTTGCGTGCGTGTGATTTATTATTCGTGCAAAATTATTAGCTAGTGATCAAAAAATGCCATGACATAATAATTTTTCCAAGAGTGAGATGCATGATATGATTTGAGTTTTTTCTCAGGCTAATTTTAATGAACATGCGGTGGCCCGAAGATATGTGCAATAGTAGGTACCCAAATAGAATACCTAACTATAAACTATTCAGAAATCTTTATAATCGCTTAGGCGGATCTGGATCTTTTCGACCAAAAAGTAACCATGGTACACCAAAATCTATCACAGTCGATGAAGAAGAGAAAATGTTACTACTCGTACTTGTCGGATAAGTGCGGCAACGGGGATGAGCCAATCGTCCATTTGTAGAATTTTGAAAAAAGAAATGCTCCATCCATGTATTATACTCCGGTTCATCAGTTATTGCCTCAAGATTTACCAGCCCGCCTACAATTTGCTCAGTTTATATTATACAAAATATGCAAATGGAAAATCTAGATTTCCTCAATAAGATTTTATTTACTGATGAGGCGACATTTACTAGACGAGGAGTTTTCAATTGAAAGAACAATCATTTGAGGCTATGAGCGACAAAATGGCCTAACCCCAAAAAATAAGTTTTGCGTAAAATGAACAAATAAAAAATGTAGAAAAACATGCTACTTTGTAAGCACTAAATAAAACAAACTTTTATCGACTTTTAATTAGTTTAACGTAGTTAATAAACTAATAGTTGAAGTGAAGTTCTTAAATTTG